GCCGGCTAGCAGAGGTTGTCAGGGGCAGAAGAGAAGGCGATAGTCAAATGGTGTTTTGATATGAATGATTGAGAGTTTCCACCAAGATTGAATATAGTTCGTGATATGGCAATCCATTTGGAGGTAAAGCGATTAGGCAGTGAGACAAAACCTTTAGGGTAAAAGTGGATTTCCCGCTTCCTGGACAGAAATCCATCAATTATGATGAAATACAGTTCTCACCTAGAATGACAGAGAGCTCAAGCCAATGATTCCTACCTGATTAAGGACTTTTTTGCAAAACTAGCACAGCTTATCGGTCAGCATAGTCCAAAAGCTTCTCAAATCTTTAACTTAGATGAAAAAGAGATTTTAGTTGGTCATGCAGCACAAGCTAGAGTCCTGTCTCGTCGATGGAGGTCGTGAATTGGTCGCAATAGCTGAGACAATATGTGCGGCTGGATTCACACTTTCACCATTGGTAATTTACCGTGGTACAGCACAGTATTTGGGATGGCACAAAAACCTTACATCTTGGGAGAAGGATTATGTTTTTAGCTATTCTCCAAAGGGTTGGATTGATGATAGATTGGCTTTAATGTGGTTGTAGAATATTTTTGAACTGCAAACAGCAGCTTTAGTTGGAGGGTTACCACGGCTTCTCATCATTGATGGTCATGGTTCACATATTACCTACCAATTTTCCCACTTTTGTGTTGATCATAATATCCTTCTTTTATGTCTACTGTCACACAGTACACATCTTGTTCAGCCACTTGATGTTGGCCTATTTTCGTCCTACCAGCACTACTATGGACGAGAGGTGGATGAGTATGAGAGATCGGGTCACAATTTAACTGAAACCGGTATCAAAAAGTCTTTATTTATTCGAATGGTAGCCAATGCACGGGAGAAGACATTTACTTCTTCCAACATTTACAAGGAATTTGAGGGGGCTCGGATCTGGCCATTGTGTCCAAGGCGGGTGCTTGGAAAAATGGTACCGGTAGTTGTGTCCTGCTGTGATACCTTGGGTCTACTTTCAACACCACACCAAAGCAAGGACATCCGATGCAGTGTTCAAGCTGCTGAATATCTACTGGACAGTGGGATCAGTTCTCTGTCACTTCAGGACTCTGGGCCAAAGGTCAAAGTTTCACAAGTTATGATAACACGAGTCAAGGTTATTATGCGAGAGCTTGGACATCAGTTGAAAACAGAGATTGCATACCGTGAACTGTACCAGGAACAATCAAAAAGGCTGCAAGGGATCACATTGGTTTACAACAAAATGGATCGAAGAAAGCTTACCGAGGTGCAGGTTATTACGGGTGGTGATCTCATAAAGTTACGGGATATACAGCTAGAGAAAGACTCAGATAAGATCAAGCGGTCCACTGCTAAAAAGAACGTGAAACCTCCTAGAGAGCAAAAAAAAAACACCATCCAACCAGCAAAATCGCAACCTCTATGCCATGTTATTATCAATAATAACCCTGAAATAAGCCTGGATTCTTACGATCAGGAGAGTATTTCTAGCAATGTTCACCATGACAGTGAAGAGAGCGATTGGATGTCCTCCTCGGATACTGACATTGTACCAACCACCTCCCTCAGGCAGGAAAGTCCTCATTCACCACACTTATCCTACCAACTTCCCAATCAGCCTCTTCATATGACTCTTCGCTCTCGCAAGCCTTGAAGTTTCTCCTGGTTTTTTTCTTTTCTTTGTAGGTCTTCCCCCTCACACTATCAATCCTATTCGCTTGAGGCTAATACAGCTAGTATAAGGCTTAGATTCCTCAAACTACAATGTTTTCATTTTGGACAATTGTTTCCAGTTCTTTTGAATGTTTTTTGAGTTTTTTTGGCCTTCAATTCGTGGAGTTATTTGATTTCAATGGTTGGTGCCTGTTGACGAGCAGTCTATCCCGGATCCCGGTGATGTCCCGGATCCCGGTCGTTGACGTTATAAATTTATATCGTTGCTGACAAAATGTCTTGAAAATCAGCAATACGGATCTGGCTTTGGCAGCGCATGACGTGCCCTTCCGAAAAATTGAATCACAAGCTGATATCGTTATACAAGGCTTCGGAATTAGCTAGTGGAGCAGTGCTCGAGTACTCAAGTACTCGTACTGTGCCGTACAGTGCACCAGCATCCTGGAGGGCCTCGCACGAATCGTATAGGTGGAGGGAATACCCGTGCCTGTGCTACTGGTACTCGTACCGCGTGCCAACAGTTACAGTGCGGTCCTGCACGACAATTTGCCATTCAGTCCACAACAGCCAATCAAGAAGCACCCTCCAGTGAGGTTGCCGTACGGTATCGACAAGCTGAGCCTTGCTCGACCCATGCCGTTTTTCTTTCCAGCCATGATACGAACCATCTTCCCTTCCTTTCCCTTCCGTTCCATTTCAGGTTCACCAATTATTTCCTCCTCTCTTTCTGTGCCTTTACATTGGCCAGTAAATCAGATCATATCGCGCAAAGGTCCCGCGGCTGAACCCACAGGAAGGAAGGGGGGAAAGGGAAAAAAGAGGAAGCAAAAAGGGTTACGTTCCTATATTTAACATGATGATGGTGGCACCGGCATCGTGAGGTGGATGGACTTTACGACATTTTCACCGAAAGAGAGGAAAGGCCTATCGCACGGTACTTGTATCATGGGCAGGAAACTAGAGGGTGTGCTTACCAACCGTGAGAGGAGAATCATAAGAATATACTCGAGTACTGACCATGATGTGCACAGGAGTCGGTCGTGCGTCGGTGTTCTCCAGCTAGCCAGAGAAGGAGAGGTTTTGACTTGCACGGCACCGCTCGAGTGCGGGTCTATGATGGGCCAGCATTAGTATCTATCATACACCGGTGCTTGTGGAATCGCCTGCACTCAGGGCCCGTCTTGGCAAGGGGTTAACCGTGCCAAGGTTCCCACCACTTCGAATGACGCTAAGCGACCTTCCAAGTAGGTGGCACTCCCTAGGAGTGCCAAACAGCTCAACGATAGAATCACCTCAATGAAAGAATTTTCAGTATACCACAATTCACAATATCTTTCATTGGATTACTCAACCCCAATGCCATCATGGAAAGTGAAACCTATATCGATATAGAAGTAAGAATCAAGCAAGTACTGGATCAAATTAAGGAAGAAGAAAAACCGAATATTGCAGCGCGGGCGAGAGAGAATTGCCTACCCGAAAAACGTCTCCATGCATGATGGAATGGCTGTGGATCTCGCCAACAACGAGAGGCACCAAATCGGAAATTGGCTCCTGATCAAGAGCTTGCACTCTGCCAATACCTGGAAAGACTTGATAAGCTCGGACTCTCTGCTCTGTACCGACATATTGCCTCGTATGAGAATTCAATTCTTGCTGCATCCCACACTACATCCTCTGATCCACCACCTTGTATAAGCCAATCATGGACCCAGCAGTTCCTGCAATGACATCCAAAGTATTATGTAAGAAAACAAAAACCCCTCGATATCGAATGGAAATGGTCACATCATCCTGATGACTTGCACAACTGGTTTCGGCGATTTCAATTGATAAGAGAAGAGAAGGGGATTTTGAGCATCGATATATACAATTTTGATGAAACAGGTTTTAGGATTAAAATTGGTAAAAACCAATAGGTAGTAACTAGGGAGCAAACATGTCCTTTGACTCTTGCCAGCTCAAGCAATCGTGAGTTGGTTACGGTAATTGAAACGATTAATGGTAATGGCATGGTGCTACCACCAATGATCATAGTACCTGGTGCAGTACACATGGAGGACTGGTACACAAAAACTGATATTCCAAGTACCTTTCTAGTTGGAGTCACTAATACTGGATACTCGAATGATAAGTCTGCATTAGATTGGCTTTATCATTTTGAGAGTTTTTCTGCTAGACAGCCGGTTGGAGCCTGGAGAATGCTTATTCTTGATAGGCACAACTCTCACTGCACATGGGAGTTTATTACCTTTTGTGATAATCACAAGATCCTACTCTTTTGTCTTCCACCTCATTGCACCCATCTTCTTCAGCCATTAGATGTTGTAGTTTTTCAACTATATAAACATTATCATGTGGAAGCATTGGATGCGGCAACAAAAACAGGATGTTTACAGTTTGATAAGGTTGAATTTCTCTCAGCAATTGAGCCAATCCGTGACCAGACATTCAAGCAGACAACAATCGTATCTGCATTTCAAAAGACTGGCCTAATTCCCTTCAACCCTGATCTTGTTATCGATAAACTACTACATGGTCACTCTACAGCTGTACCCCGTACACCCTCTCCGATTCCTGAGCTTGTCCATATTCCAGAAATACCAAAAACACTACAATCACTTAAGAGGCATGCTGGAGTTCTAGGTTCTGAGCTTGGAAACCTTTCACCCACATCACATCGAACCCTTCGACAATACCTGAAGGGGAGTTTAGCAATTGCACAAACCAGAACTCTTGCCTTGCAAGATCTCGAAAGTACGAAAGCAGCTGAGCTGGCCCGAGCAGCTAGACAAAAGAGGAGCCGACGATCGATACAGAAGGGCAGCACAATGTATGCGCATCAAGCAAGAGAAATGGTCCGGCAGAAAGAGGCAGAATCTGCAAAGAAGGAGCTTGCAAAGGCTCAGCGCATGTTGGATAATTCAAAGAAAATTGTCGATGCTAAAGTTAGAAAAAAGTGGAAAGAAATTTCCAAACAAATGAGAAAGGCTGTTAAGGATAGAAACAAGCAAAGACGGCTTAAAGGGCTTTTAGGTCGTGAGATAGGGCATGTTATTGCGAAGTTTTCTTGTCATCTTGAATAAATCTTTCTTTGAGGCGATTCTATCGTTGAGCTGTTTGGCACTCCTAGGAAGTGCCACCTACTTGGAAGGTCGCTTAGCGTCATTCGAAGTGGTGGGAACCTTGGCACGGTTACTTGCAGTGTGATAACGGTCTGCTCGAGTACAGTACTAGTATCGTACTCAGCGGTAAGCCCACCAATTGGGTTAGATAATGATAGGAGATTGATAAGGCAGGATGCGGCTCTGCTTGTTGTCTGAAAAGAGAAAAAAGAAAGAAAAAGGCGCAAAAATTTCTTGTTTACATGTCAATTTACCGAGCATTCCCAGAGTCTCCCTCCACTGCATTCTCATAACTGCAATGATACTCCGTCGCCTCCGCACCCCCGCACTGCGGAGCCCTTCCACCTCGGTGCCACGAAGGTTTTACTCAGAATTGTTACAGACGAAATTTGGACAGCCGAGCTTCGAGACACACCCCTGGTCGCTCAAGGCCGGCGAGGGTAATAACAATTCGTCTTCTCCATCCACCCAATAGCTATCTATCAACCGATAAAGCTATCCCTCAGTACAAGGCAAAGCTGACGGTTATAGTTACACCCGGAATCTCAGCACTTGAGTACGCCACGCGTAGAGCAAAGCTTGCATCCGAACTTCCTGACGGCGCCGTAGCGGTTGTGCCAGCCGCATATGTCAAGTATCGTTCCAGACCGGTGTTTTACCCCTTTCACCAGAACCCGGATTTTCTCTACCTGACGGGCTTTCTGGAACCGGAGGCTCTATGTGTTATCGGTATGTATATATGTATGCATGTGGCGTAGTGGTTGTGGTGGTGGAAAGATGCTAATCGGGCGAAGAAAAGACGGGGCCGGTCGGGGGTGGTGAACATACTTTTCATCTGTTTGTTCGGGGGAAAGACAGCCATGCTGAGTTATGGGATGGACCGAGGTCTGGGGTTCAGGCTGCTTTGGATGTGTTTAATGCAGATGAGGTTGCTTGTTTTGCTTCTTGGGAGTTTGATGGGTTTGGCTAATGGATTAGGCGGGAGATATCAAACATGCTGAACACCATTTACGGCCTATACTTAAACGCGCGAGCACTATATATGCGGATACTATCTCACTAACTGAAAAGCCTTCCGGATTTGCAAGTTTGATTACTCCGCCGCCAGCAGCTGCACCGGGATCTTTGGTACAGATACTTCGAGATAGGGGGGTCCTGCCGTTAAAGTACTTTATGCACAAGTTACGGGTTTCCAAAAGCGATGCGGAGGTAGCAAACATGCGGAAGGCGGGACAGATATCTGGAAGAGCGTTCAATAAGGCTATTGCTACGAAGGAACGGTTTACGATGGAGCGTGATCTCTGGGCGTTCCTGGAATACAAGTTTCGGATGGGTGGTTGTGAGAAGGAGGCGTATGTACCCGTTATCGCGGGTGGGCAGGTTTGTTTCTCCACCTGCCGCGCCTTCCCATGCTGATGTGTTAGAATTCGTTGCACATTCATTATACTAGAAACGACGACAAATTAGGGTTTGTTCTACTGTGTCAACTTGTTTCACCCGTTCTAAAAGATTATAGGGAATCCGACCTTGTTCTTGTGGATGCCGGTGGAGTAAGGTCCCTTAACCTTAACCCTACCAGGAACATCCGTCCCACTAATACCCATAGCAATACGGTGGCTACGTAACGGATATAACTCGCACTTGGCCCGTCTCCGGAACCTTCACCCCGGCGCAAAGGGATCTCTACCAAGCCGTCCTGAATGTGCAAAAGCGATGTGTATCCCTCTGTTGTGAGAGCACCTGCATATCGCTCGACGAAATCCACGAGGTATCAGAGATGGAGCTGATATCCGAGCTAAAAAGTCTCGGTTTCGACCTGACCTCCTCTCAATTATGCAATGTGTTGTTTCCGCATCATGTGGGACACTACGTCGGGTTGGATATTCACGATTGCGGAAGTTACTCCAAGAGCAGGAAATTGCAGGCTGGGCAGTGTGTTACTGTTGAACCGTCAGTCTTCCTTCTAGTAACACTCGCCAGCGAGCGAGCCGGTTGGTTGGGATTGCTGTAAGCTGATGATGTATGAGCAGAGGTGTGTACGTCCCGAACGACTTGCAATGGCCAAAACACTTCCGGGGCATGGGAATACGAATTGAAGATACTGTTTGCGTGGGCGATGAAGGGCCGGTGGTGCTAAGCGTTGAAGCCGTAAAAGAGGTTAATAATCACCTCCGTCTTCCCCTCCTGCTTTCGCGCACCCAACCTTTATGCAGTCGCAAATCACTTGCCTAACGTTGTACAGATCATCGATATCGAATCGTTGGCAGCGGGCATAACTACCGCCTAACGCCCGGAACTTGACTCTCGGCCGGGATTCCACTTCCGTTTTTTTTTTTTATTAAAAGAAGCGGGAGGCAACCACCGTATTTACCTACCCACCTACCACTTTTGAGAAATTATCGCCGCAATGTATCACAGTCTGTACGAGCACTTGATGTGTATGAACTGATACTCTAAAATGCGTACTGTACACTGACTTGAGATAAACCCCCGAGGGTCTGTAACGCAACATAACACGACGCAATGGCGCAGTGCCTGGGGCTGTGAAAATATATATAAAAAAAAATCCATCCCACCATAACGCCGGTATCACACCGTGTCATATCATGTTTATTGTGTCACAAGTCTACTGAGTGTTCTACTTGTAAAGCTCCACGTCCCAACTTCAATCGCTCCTTGCTATTATGCAACACTGCACCAGAACTGCACAGTGCACACGGAAGACTACCATTTATCACCCAGGTGGACTAAACCTTCCAACTCGACATGCGATACATCTCCACCGTGATTACCGTGCTAACAAAGGTCTAAAAAGTTGAAATACCGTATATACCACCACCATCGCCGCCGCAACTGAAGTCACGATACCCTATGATGCGCAACATCGTCATCGCACTCGTTTCGGGAATCTCATCCGGTCCATACAATAGTCTACCTTACCTCTCTCCATCTCCCCATGATTCCGTCGACCTCATAGATAACCAGTTCCCCGGCCTATCTCTCCCGCCTTACCCGCAAAACATGCTTTGGACACGGGCCGACTCGCGAGTGACATTACATGACCATGACGCCAACCCTCCAAGCCTCCGCTCCTTTCCCTTCTGGGAAGATTTGGCGATGGTTGGGGGGCACCGTTGCATCTGTCGGTCAGTCGGTCGGTTGTGACAGCCGGAGTGAGCGGGTGATTGGCGGTTTGGTTGTGGTGTGGGTGGGTAAGCTATGGGGAGGGGTTTCTTCTGTTGGATGCGCGATGTGTGTGTACTGCGCGGCTGTTGTTCATGATCATGGTCAACGGATTGGGTGACCGGTCGGTTGGGGGAAGGGATGGTGGAGTGCGGTGGCACAAGATCGGGGTACGAGTACAGGGGATACGGTAGATGGGTAGGTTTGGGGGTGAGGTGCGCAGGTCGGACCGGCGAATGAATGAAGAGCAGCTTTTTTCTTTCGCTTTTCCTTTTTTTAAGAGAATAGAGGTCGTACTCATGTGGTAATATAATTCTTACTAGAGTACTGTATTGTACAAGTCAAGGCGAAGGGAGTAATTTCGAGTCCAGGAGGGATAATTGAGAAATGAAGAGAAGAGAAGAAAGGGAAAACGGAGAAAATAAAAATAACGAGGAAATAATTTTTAGGAGCGAGAAAAAGTACTTGTAGAGAGGCATAGAGCGGAGAAGCGGGAAAGAGAGAGAAAGTGGAAACAAGAAACAAGATATTACAGCACGAGTTTCAAGTAACCCTCCTAAGGAAAGCCTCCAGTTGCTGTGGGGATAGTTTAGACCTCTTGCTCGGTTCCTCGGACTGAATGCTGCAAGATCGCTTTCTGATTGGTGAAGTGTTCCTCGAAGAAGGGCCGTTCTGGCCATGGCTTACGTACCGGCGATAGAGGTTGCTGGGGTTCCGCTCCCGTGGCAATACCTGCGGCCGGGCTTCGAGCCACCTAGTGCTATGGATGGGCAGCGGCATTCGCGGTGGTTTTATGGGCGGGTGTAGGTGCGGCGGCGGGAATGGTAGGTTTACGAGCGCGTTAATTTCTGCATCTTCTGATGACTCTGATGATGCGTCCTCCGAAGACGGGTCGCTGGTTTCGGGAGATTCGCTCAAGCCGGAAGGTGTACGGTAGGATGTTGTATCGGTACCATCCCCGGCGGCTTGTCTGAAGGGTTTCAGAAGTATGAGGTAACAGTTTGCTAGGTCGTCGTGTTTTGCACAGTATTCCACTATGCGGGTGCATCGGGCGGCTGCGCCCAAGTCCTCTTGGTACTGGGGGTACGGCTGTCCGAGCGTCCGTTTTTGGGCAGTGTAGAAGAGCAGGATGAGGCCAGCATTGAACGATGAGTATCTATACAACTTGGTAGCTCATTAGATGTATTCGCAGCCATTTGCTTTTGTTTTCGTACTTTGGGCAATTTCCGCTTGCTTGTTCAAGGAGTGGGATGGTTTCTCACATAGTCACCCAGCAGTTTTTGAAAAGATCTTTATGTGAATACAGACTCCCTAGTAGTTCCGAGGTCTGCCTCCCGGCGGATAAGCATGTTTTCGCAAGCCTCAATGCCTCCCCAGTACTTCCTTCAAACAAGTCGCCTCCGGCTCCACTTGCCAGTTCGACGAGCACTCTGCGGGTGAGGAGTATTACAGTCCCTAGGTACACCATGTGGAGGGTGAGTAGTGATGTGTCGGCCAGATACTCTCCCGGGGTCAACTTGGATCTGCCTAGTTTCATAGGCTCCGGCAGATTTTCATAACGTAGCTTCAACTTCGCCATGTGGTCGCACACGAATTCGAGGTCGATAACGGGGGAAGTAAAGACGCCTTTGAGGATTCTGCTAGCTAATAGCCCGATATTCACAATCTCCGTTTGTAAGGAATTTCTCCGTGATGAATTTCGGAAATCGTAGCTCCTTTCCTATGTATCTGTGAGTGGTAGCCAATGGGGTCTTTAGGCGTGGGGTCTGAACCGATTCTGCAAGCTCGATGGTGTCATATGTTGCGCTCCAAATGGGTATGCGGCCTAGGGATATGGCTAGGAAGCTGCTGATATAAGCACAGGGACGAATAGTTGAGTGGGATTTATTTAACCTTTCCAGAAACAATAATGTCCGCCATAACCTTCGATATCCAAACCAATCTGTCTCGGTCATATAGCTTGGCCATGTGTTGAGTTGAAGGTCTCTGGAATGGGCGATCTGTAATGCCTTGCCTGCGATTCCTATTAGTCCATAATTGCGAGGAGATGGGTATATTCCCTAGGAAACATACACACATATCCCCAGCTTGACACTTTCTTTTCCGACATTGAATATAACGCGGCTAGAGCGAGTATCTTCATCCCTTTCAATTCGTCCTTCTCCAAGCATTGGTCCAAATGAGCCTTAACGGTGTCAAAAAATGTTGTGTGCGCCTCTTTTGGAATGTTATCTGCCCACGAGCACCCTACCGCAGCCATAGCAAAGAGTTCACAAAGGGGCAGTAGTTGGCACTCCTCCGCATAGACCTCCTTCAACATCTTCCTCGTTTCAACTTCCTCCGCAAAATATAGGTGTTGCAAGGCAGATTGACAAACAAAGAAGCCATCGATTGCTAAGCTTGTGGTAGAATGTGGCGGTAGCTGACTGAACTGCGAGGTTGCTGAATATTGATTTGTTGATCCATCGTGAAGATGCCTTTGCTGTTTTGGTTTCGGTAGAAGCCGTGCTAGCGCTTCTGACAATGATATTTCGGAGGAGTCCACAAGAGAGCTTTGTACCTGCCTGGAACAGGGATCTGTAAGATACTGGGCGAAAAGCGGATCGTCGCCGGACATCTCACCTGATGCTAAAGAGGAGGAGGGAATTGGTATGGAGGCCCAGGCTGCTGCTGCGTCCTCCTTTCACTGAAAAAAAAAAAGATATCAAAGGGAGTTTGTATGAATTTGAAGAGTAGGAAGAGGGTGCTTACAGGTGGAAGTCTTATCCGGAAAGGTCTCGGAGAAGGGGGTCACGTCATAACGGAGCATTGCCTTTTCTCTGGCTCAAAATAGGAGATGATGCTCTACTCGCGCTGCCCAGTCGAAGTCGGACACCTCGTAACTTAGCGGTCCACCGGTAACTTACTCGAGTACTGATCGCCTGACTAATAACGAGCCCATGCAGTGCAGCACAGTTAATAATCACACACGAGCTGGCAAGCCTTGCATAGATATCCATAGGCTGGAGCACCGATAAATTAGTCTAACCAATCTGGCCATTGAAGTTCCTCATGAAATCTTTGAGGCCTTTGATGAAGCTCAGCCCGAACAAGAACTTTGCGGGTCCTTGCAAGTACCTTTTTGGCGACATACGCTATAACTTAGCATATTTTCTAGGATATATAGAATTACACCACTCGGCTTGGCGCTTTGGAGGAGTGAATTTATTGGCCTAGCGATCACTACTCACGACTGTGGTATGGGGGTGTCAACTTGGACGCGCGAGTACTGGTAATTTATGCTGCGGGTGAGACTCCATAAGTCTTCAATACCGTGGGGGCGCCTTGCTCGAGTGCAGATATTGTGGTCTATGTTAGTTTAGCGCTCGTGTACTATACTGTACAGTACAGTATGATACGAGCACATCTAAGTATGGATCTGCGTAAGTAGGGCATTGGACTTCAGTAAGGAGGTGTCAATCGGCTGGGAATATTGCACTGCATGCACTCACTGTATGGGTAAATTTACTTGTACGAGTACAAGTACTGTGGCTGAGCCGACTTATTATAGTTCCCCTACCCGATTAAAATCGCTGGAGAAGCATGCAGCTAGTAACTGCCAGCGCTCAGGGTGAGCCTGGTGAGTCTGCCAGATGTAAGGTTCCGGGCCGGAGCGGATAGCTGTGCTGTATTCCTATGAACAAGAAATCGAATTTATGGTAAATAGGCGAAGGGGTTCGTTCAATTCAGAGACTTTTCCGGGAGCAAGGATGGGTTTTTGTTGGAGATGGCTGGTGAAATGAATAGAGGAGAAGAGGAGAAGAGGAGGTAGAATAGAGTTTGTTTATGCTTGCGAGCAGAGGGTTGTTTATCTGATGTCGTGGTCTCACATGATCGGATTCGCGTCGCGGTGTTGGCGCTGATGGAAGATATTGTCTCAATCCAATATGGTGAAGGTAATGTACTGTATTAAGAATCGTTGCTCACCGGTCACAGGCCCACTGAATGTGGGATAAGGGCTAAGTTGTATGGGAATTCGGAAGTGATTTATGGCAATGCCCTCGGTCTTTAATATTATAGCACTGCTTGTTCCCTAGTGCAGTACAGGTGTGGTGTTGCAAGATTGGATAACGTGGATAGAGGAATCTTGGGTGAGTAAAGGTTGTTATCATATTATGGCAGATGAAAATTCGTATTAACATCGTACTGTGCTGCAGGTAGGAAAGACAGAGGCTAAGGCTAGGCGCCTGGCGCGCTGTGGCTATCCCAGCCAACTGTTCTGTGCATAGTGGGGGTGTTAGAAATTGGCAGCAGCTACCTTACTGTACCTTCACTCGTGCTATGCAATTGCTCCCGCTAGGGATAACACGGTCCTCTGACTAATTTCCGCTTCCACAGTCGTAAGTTGGTCTGAGCCCACGTTCAGCTCAGTATTTTTTTGTACTTCTTCACTCGTTGGAAAGTCCCCTGTTCATATTCGTTGTTTTTAGTTGTCCTCCACTGTTTTTCCTGCAAGAAGGAAAGAAGGAAAGGTGGAGAAGATCCTCCTTTCTGTAGAGTACAGGAAAAAAAATCCTCCCTCAGCCTTCAAACAAACTCTTTTGGGAAAAATCAACCTAAACAAAACCCTAAAATTTCCCACCATGATACAAATGGAGTTGTCCATATCAGACAGCCCATTAATCTGACTCCCCTCCTAACAATACCCCCGACCGAATACTCGGGCGCTGTTGTTGAGAAAAGGAGTGAACTTAGGTGAACCAGTATTTCCACCACACAGAGCTCCAACTCCCTTTGCCGAGTGGATGACTTCACATAGAACTTTAGAACAAGTTTTCAAGATTCTGCTGGATAAGGAGCTACACTAGGGGGTTACAATTGAAAATTGCGTAAATGAATATATTGCTCGTCAGGATGATAGAAGACAGAAATCTAGAAATGAGGGAATTTACAGCCCGGGGAAGTTACCAAGCACTGCACCGGGAACCGGAGACTGATCTCAGATGCCCAGGGATTCAGGTGAAAACTTGCTTGGATCGGCATCTAGGGGAACGCGTGACCAATGGACTGGTCTGGGCTGGCAGTCTGGTGGTTTCTTGCATTTGGCCATGTTGCCTCCAGGAGTTTGCAGGGAATGGTATCCGTCACCCAGAGAGTTGAGACCTGCTATATGATCAGCCTCGGCCTCTTCGTTATTCTCGAGTCCTTCGGGTATTTGATAGGACTAATTTGATACTTGATTATCGTATATTGTGCTGTGCTTTTAATATGTGTAGTACTGCATTATACCCGAGCACAAGCCCGCTGGGGGAACTTTTTGGAATTTCTAGGACAAAGTATTTATTGGGATCCGACCTTTACCGCCTATTTCTTAGCCAATCACAAGTATGCCACGGGTGACTTGTTAAGCCATTTAAAGTTCATCGGTGAAGCTCTCCCGGCTATCATACAAGCCTACTCTCTTTGCATGTAGTGATGTCTACATCGTATCGAATACCGGTATGAGAAAGGTTAAGTTTACTCGAGTCGGACAACCGGTTTTACGTGGAATATTCCTTTGGATGAGTGACAACTACTCGAGTGGATTGGGAACAACTCAAGGTAATGTTGGAGGAAAAACTCCAATTAGTAGTCTGGGTGGTGACAGAAATTGTAGTGGGTTTGCTCATCGGAGTCAGGGTCGCCTTCAGGGCTCCTGAAATTCTGAGCGCTTGGATTCATCGAATGGAATAGTTCATAAAGATGAACTCCACAGGTCTCGAAAACTAAAGTATTGTATGATGCCAGTGTAGAATTTCTTTAGTTCTTTAAAGGGTCGGTTCTAAAGCTACCGGTAGTCTTTCTTGGCTGATGAGACATCTGTAGATAGCACTAGGTTGGGATAGGGCTTAGTTGGCGTTTGATTACTTGCTCAGGATTTTGCCGCGTTGCGCGAGATTTATCCATCTGGAATCCAGGTGTTTATGCTCAAGCCGCATGATCTATCACTCCTAGGACCAAAGTTCGTCGTGCAGATTTTGGATAATATCATTAAGGAAAAAGATTCTTTTTTTTCCAAGTGTTTAAACCAGACGGCAGCGAATTTAGTTGAAAGCACATTTTTTCGGGGTGATAAACCTCTTTTGAGAGAGGGGGAGAAAATCTTAAATTTATCATACCGGTGGTCGCTGAAGATCGCGCTTGGAATCGACCCAAAGTTCCGGGATACACTGGTACCGGTTGCTATTAGCTGGAGCTAGGTCTGCCCTATCCCGGGTCAAACCGTCCAGCCGGAATCATCATACAGCACTGTACGAGTACCGACTATGGTCCTCTTTGTTTATTGAGTTCTACCCGGTCTGTTCGCAACCAACCATACCCGGACTAACCAGTGAATGGGCGTTCTATAAAAGTCTCCTTGAATCCCCTTCGGCCAGCTCGGCTTCGTGAGGCATGAGGATGAAAGTGCCACACAGCCTGGAAGCGGCATTAATTACACTATTGAGATTAGGATGGTATTGCTAATAGAGGATCCCACTGGATTGCATAATTTCATGATTGAGGTTTTTGTTAGTATGAATATTAAAAATAGATGGCGTCTAATATAACTGTGGAGTATACTCCATTAAACTGGGACTCGGGCTATGCTTCGGGTTTCAATTCACTGGAGTTATAGTAAAGGATCCTTCTAACGGTTGGCATCACAATCAACCTATTGAATTAGCCTCGTGTTGGTTCTGACACACAACGAAATCTCTAATAAAACTAGTAAATAAACTTTGGCAAATAGAGACCAGATGTGCTCTGATGGGGCCGTGGTTTCATTTCCGCCGAAGAATGGATGTTGAGCCCAATTGATCGAGAAGCGCCCCAACGGACGGAAGAAGAAGGATGCGAACAACAGGGTCTATATATATTTTGCGGGAAGTATGAAGGCTTTTGGTAATAGAGAAGTTTCCTATAATGAGTTAGCCATAGCTCCTAATACAATAATTTGTACTGTACACGAGTGCTGGGTTGGCTATTGAGATTGAGAAGAAAATCCCTAGTATAGCGCAGCGGGTGGCCGACCCCTCGCACTACGGGCTGGGTTCAGTGTGCAATTTTTTCTTATCCCAGCGAGATAGTAAGCGGGCATTGATGACAGTATGTGAAAGGATTAGGGGCCACTAGGTCGGCTCGCGCATACGGCGGCAAACCTCGGTGTGTAAGTACGGAGGCTTTGGCAAACGCCAGTATAATACTGGGCTTATGTAGGCGCATGAATGTGTTCATATCCTCACACCGACTATCAGCTACGGGGAAAAATATAGACTACGGAACATGACTTTATTTATTGGCCGCCTCGCGTCTCCCAATCCCCACATCTAAGGTCTTTCTAATCGCTTCCATGGATTGTACCCTCCCCTTATCGAGATACCACCACCCCCATTTGGTAGGGGCACGGCTAGCTGTGGTGCAGGAAGTAGTAGGTTTTGTTGGTCGTTTACCGTCTTGATGGGCGTTGATGGGTGAAGGGCAAATTGCGGGCCTAGACAAACGGTAAGGCAGGGATTTCTCTGTATACAGATGTTCGTCCCTTTCTTTGCGTTGTTAAAGTGTGGATATGCTACTAAATCACCTGGTGCTTGGAAAAATATATAGGGCGTGCCTTTCCTAGCACATTTGACTAGGAGCCTGACATAAAATGGCGCCTCGAACCCTTCCCCAACCCGGAATGGGTGAAGCTACGGGAATAGTGGAGTTTCCTAAGTTCGGCATCGGCGCCCACTAAACATTTCTAAGTTCCACGTAATCATAATTACTGTGGGATGTTTCGTCGGTACTACTACTTCTGGTGTGTCGACGATT